TGTGGTTTAGGGTTTAGGGTTTAGGGTTTAGGGTTTAGGGTTTAGGGTTTAGGGTTTAGGGTTGAGGCTTGAGGGTTGAGGGTTTAGGGTTTTGGGTTAGGGTTTAAGGTTTAGGGGTTTGGGGAACCGGTTTCAAGATCCTTAATGTGGTACAAGAGCTATCCTGCACCCAAAGACCCCAAACCCAACTCTAAACTACCCCTCAAGCCTACGCCGCCCACCCTACACCTCATCAAACCCTAAGTAACTGAACTTACGCCTAAGAATGAATGCTAAGCTAACCTCATAACGGAAACCTGAACTGGAGCTAACAAAAACAAACTACCAGTATCCGTGGGGAAGTACAGGTGAACCTTTGGGATTATCTAGGGATATGATAATTACAAAAGTTAACGGATACCGTAAGGTTACCTGCTCTATTACAAAGATTGCAAACTGCAAGCCCTTAACTGACCATTCACTAAGCCTAAAGCAACCCAAACCTCCAACCCTCAGGCCCTAAACCCTATAAAGCCTAGACCAGCCCTCAACATATCTGCCCTAAACCCTAAACCCTAAACCCTAAACCCTAAACCCTAAACCCTAAACCCTAAACCCTAAACCCTAAACCCCAAGCCCTCTCTCAACCTTGCCCGGCTGCGCCGAAGGTCGCTCGCGGCCGCATGGCGCTTGCACCGGCCCTGGGAGGTGTGAGAGCTTCTAGGGTTTAGGGTTTAGGGCTAGGGTTTAGGGTTTAGGGTTTAGGTTTTAGGGTTTAGTTTTTAGGGTTTAGGGTTTAGGGTTTAGGGTTTAGGGTTTAGGGTTTAGGGTTTAGGGTCTAGGGTCTAGGGTTGAGGGTTTAGGGTCTAGAATTTAAGGTCCATTGTTTAGGGCTTCAGGCCTTCGGGTTTCCAAAAAGGGGTTCAGGGCTTGATTGTGGGTTTTGAGAATTCAAGGTGTCGGGCATTTTTCACTGTGCGTAGCAAGAAGATGGTGGGCACAGGGGGCCCAAACAAGCTTATATTCCAGGCTCAGACCTTTCAACTGTACTAGGCCCCTAAACACTCTTGGGCCTAAACCCTAAACCCTAAACCCTAAACCCCAAACCCCAAACCTAAACCCTCAACCCTCAACCCTAAACCCTACACCCTAAACCCTAAACCCTAAACCCTAAACCCTAAACCCTGAACCCTGAACCCTAAACCCTACTACCAGCAAAGGCGCGTGCAAGCACACCTTGTGCCAGTAGAGCAGGATCGCCGCCTCCAAGGGCCGCCTTTGGCCAGCCTTGACTCAGCTTCCCCATGCTGGGGTTTAGGGTTTAGGGTTCAAGGTTCAGGGTTTAGGGTTTAGGGTTTAGGGCTAGGGTTTAGGGTTTAGGGTTTAGGGTTTAGGGTTTAGGGTTGAGGTTTGAGGGTTGAGGGTTGAGGACTGGGGTTTAGGGGTTTAGGGTTTGGGGTTTAGGGTTTTGGGTTTAGGGGTTTTGGTTGAGGGGTTTAGGGGTTTAGGGGTAGGGGGGTTAGGGGTTTAGGGTTTAGGATTTAGGCTTTAGGGTTTCTGGGGTTTAATTAACCACAACCATCCCAGAGAGACTACAACCTCTAACCCTAAACCCGCAAAAACCTCTAATTGATCTCAGCTCCGTATTCACTTCTTGGTCGCCCAGTAACCATCTTGTAATAAGGGTGCCGTTTTTTGGTTGGTTACTTTATCAAGGAAACCCAGAACCCCAAAAAAGTGATGCTTCTGGTCTTCTCATCAAGGCGCTATATATGGTCAAACACTTCTTCGAACTTCAGTCCCCGCGCTCGAAAAAATCAGGCTCGGACGCCCCCCCCAAACAACGAAAGCAGCCCGAAACCCTAAACCCTAATCCCTAAACCCTAAACCTTGAAAATTGGTCCTCGCGAGCTGCTGCCGAGCAACTACCATCTTCGCTGCCGTGAGACGTGTTGCCCTGGAAAGCCCAAGTTCGCACGATTTTGGGGGGCTCTACCTCTAAACCCGCAACCCTAAACCCTGACCTCGAAAGCCCTGGACACCAGCTCATGACAGGAAGAAGTTCCTCACCGCCAGAAGAAGGTTCGGAGAAGGTGTGGCTTGACCATGCTTATCTCTTGGGCCCCGAGATCCCGCCAAGACCTGCTCGTCTTACTGCCTCTCAGTACGGAATTCGCGGGGACTTTGCTCCAGAACATATACCTGGACATGTACGGAACCTCGTAAAACACTAACTCCCGACTCCAGGGACGCGCACTAAGCCTTGTCTGACTCTCCGTACGCTCAAGATGTTCCAAATCAACCACTCCTCTTCGGCCAGACATCGAACATGCCAAATCACACGACATGGAAAAGGAAATAAATAGCCCTGAAACCCTACCCTAAACCTTCTCAATTACCTGAAGGCCCTAAACCCTCTACCCTAAACCCCGAATTTGCCGCCTGCGGCCGGAGGCCTCCCGGCGCCAGCACAGCATCGTCTTGAGGAGCAGCAGACGCAGCATGGAACGCAGCTCGAGGCCTCTTGGGCTTCACAGCTGGATTTCACCGTCTTCTAGGCTGCCCAGTAACCTAGGCTTAAAAAAGGGTGCCCTTTTTTGAGAAAAGGGGTCTATAAGGGAACCTAAACCCCCCCCAAAAAGGGAATAAGGGATCTACTGGGCATCCTAGTCTTTAGGGGTTTAGGGGCTCAGGATTTGGGCGTAGGGTTTAGGTTTAGGGTTAGGGTTTCGGGCACCTGAAACAACCTCAGATTTGTAAGTTACCGACTTACAAGTAACCTCAAAAAAGGGTAGGATTGTGGTTGTAAAGGTAGGTTTAGGCGCGTGTGGGGATGGGGCCTATAGGTGTCATGCTGTTTATACGCTTTAGGGTCTGGGTTTGAGGGCCCCCAAAAAGAGGAGGGAAGGGTGGGGGGGAGAGCGGGTTGGGTTTTGGCGTTTGTGCGGTCTTGTGGACAATCTGGAAGAAACGCCTTTGGACTCAAACTACTTTACATAGAGTCATATGGAATATGGATCATCAAGTTCAGGGAGGTGAACCCTACTGCGCCCTAAACCCTAAACCCTAAACCCTAAACCCTAAACCCTAAACCCTAAACCCTAAACCCTAAACCCTAAACCCTAAACCCTAAACCCTAAACCCTAAACCCTAAACCCACAGAACGGGCACATGTGTAGGAAACTGCAGTTTACTACGTGACACAAAGCCGAGCTTCGGTTCGCGATCTGGGCACCCCTTTGTCGCGCTGCGCGCCCGGATGCCGAAGCGGAAGCAGCCTCAAGAGGTTCTTCTTACTTGGGTTTAGGGTTTAGGGTTTAGGGTTTAGGGTTTAGGGTTTAGGGTTTAGGGTTTAGGGTTTAGGGTTTAGGGTTTAGGGTTTAGGGTTTAGGGTTTAGTATTGTACAGTATTGTACATTGAATATTATTGAACATTCATTCTTGTAGTTTTTTCATTCTTGTATACTCTTGTACATTAGTGTGTATTGTGGCATTTTGAAAGCTATTAAATATATTATTGTATATTCTTGTGTGTTATTGAATAAAACTGTATAATTTAGTATTATTGTATCTTCTTATATATTATTGTATATGATTGTATATGACTGTATATGATTGTATATTGTTGTAAATTATTGTATATTATTGTACATTCTGGCATTCTTGAACATCATTGCATTATTGTCTTTTGTTTTCTTGCGTTTTATTGTATAAATTGCCGATCGTTGTATATTATTGGATATTATTGTCTATTTTAATATTCGTGTATATTACTGCATATTATTGTAGATTTTTTGATACTTTGTTGTCGATTATTATACATTACCCTATATGATTCTATATTATTAGGGTTTAGGGTTTAGGGTTTAGGGTTTAGGGCTTAGGGCTTAGGGCTTAGGAGTTATCGAGTTTAGGGTGTGGGCCCTCCCCCACCCCCACAGCATCCTGGTCTTCACAAAGGCACATTCTTAGGGTTTAGGGTTTGGGGCTTAGGGCTTTAGGGTTTGTGTTTAGAGCTAAAGAACGAACAGCCCACGGACCTAACCCTCCTGCGGGGCTTTTTGGTAGAGGTGGCTCAGAGGATTTAAGTTTAGGGCTTCAGGGTTTGGGGGTTAGGGCTGAAGGGTTTAGGGTTCGGAGTCTTTACATCATTCGGTCTATGCGCAGGGTTAGAGCGCATGGCTGAGGAACCTTTGTCTGAGAGGGCCGGAGTTCTGCATTCTTGCGCTCGAGGGTTCATAAGTAGCTTGGGGTTTGCAAGGTTCGGGGTAAAAGCCCAAACCCGAAACCTCAAAACTCTAAAGACCCTGTGCTTACTACAGGGCTCACCAAACCACCATTGAAGGGGATACCCCAAACAGTCCCTACGACTTGGGTCTTAGATTCTCGAGGTTTAGGGTTGTAAAAACCTTCATCCCTATCAAAGTTTGGGGAGGGTTGGGGGGGGTGCCCGAGGTTTGAACCCAGTTCGCTTCCCTCTGCGCGCATGAACCTTCATCGCGAACACTTGGCCGGCAGGGCACTTGGTCTGGCAAACAATGCCTTTGCCACCTTCGCCCAAGCTGCGACACCGTCGAGGAAGAGCCTTGCCAAGTGACTCCTTGCTGAAATTCTTCTACCAGGATGGGCTATTATACCCATAATCCCTGAAAAGGCCCTTCATAGGGTTCATTATGGGGGTTGTAAGGCCTAATAGCCCATCCTGGTAGATCCTGCTCCAGGACTTCGTCTGCTGCGCCTGCTTCCACTGCTGCGCCTTGGGCGGCCGCCGACGCCGCAACGATTCTTGTGAAGGAGCCTTACGTAGGTTATATACCACAACTGAGTTTGCGGTTCAGGGCTTATAGTTAGGGTTTGGACATGAAAAGGACGCCCCATAACAACAACCCATAATCCACCAGTTGCGTATGAACGCCTCCCCAAAAAAAACAAAATATGTGCTCGTCCTTCAAGGCATTTGTTCCTTGGGGGGGGGGGGGTTCTTAAGCAAAAAAGCAGCAATAGGCTTCGGGGTCGGGGTTTCATAAGTTGTTCTCCTGACCGGGCGTCATGGTCAAGAATCTGGCGCCCATCTTCTGGAAACGTCCTACAAATTCCTGGAACAGGCACCCCAAACCCTAAACCCTAAACCCTAAACCCTAAACCCTAAACGACCCTAAACCCTAAACCCTAAGCCCTGAAATACATCGACTGCTGCACTGGCCTGCTTGCGCAAGTGGCGTTGGGTGGCCGCCGCACGCTGCCACAAGCCGAGAATGGAGGCCTGGTAGGGTTCAGGGTTTAGGGTTTAGGGTTTAGGGTTTAGGGTTTAGGGTTTAGGGTTCAGGGTTTAGGGTTTAGGGTGTTTTAGGGCTCGGGCTTACGAGAAATAACCCTATATACAACCTATACCCCTGTAACACCATCAGCCCATAACCCTCTACGTAACCCTGTGGGCCCTATCACACTAAAGCGACCTGGATCCCTGATCCCTGAACCCCTCAGAGTTCAGGCCACGGCTATTTCTAGAGGTCACGGGTCTGGAAGTGTAGGTTGCAAAGGAGTTACGGCAAGGGTTTAGGGTGTAGGGTTTAGGGTTTAGGGTTTAGGGTTTAGGGTTTAGGGTCCAGGGTCTAGGGTCTAGGGTCTAGGGTTTAGGGTTTAGGGTTTAGGGTTTAGGGGTTTAGGGTTTCCTAAATGGGTTTGGTCATGTTAGAGGGGAACTTTGAACCACGAAAGGGGCAAAAGGGTGCCACAAAGTTCCAAAACTCTGCCCTGCCCGACCAGGCCCAGGGGACCAGAAACTTGTAAATTATTAGCGTTTAGGGTTTAGGGTTTGGGGTTTAGGGTTAGGGTTTAGGGTTTAGGGTTTAGGGTTTAGGGTTTAGGGTTTAGGGTTTAGGGTTTAGGGTTTAGGGTTTAGGGTTTAGGGTTTAGGGTTTAGGGTTTAGGGTTTAGGGTTTAGTACGAAGCGGTAGGCTTTGGGCTCGTGAGGCAAACCCTAACAAGCTTAAACCTTGGTAACTCTGCACCCTGTGAACCCTCCTAAACCCTAAGCCCCAAGCAAAAAGCGCTAAACCCTAACCCCCTTAAACCCCGAACCCCAAAAACCCAAGACCCCAAAACCCCAAAACCCCTAGACCCTAAACCCTAAACCCAGTGGGCCTGCAGCCGCCGCTGCCCGCCCTGGCAGCTCGAAAGCGCCGCCTGTCGTGCGAGATTCTTGGCGCGGCCTGGGTGTGCTCGAGACTTTGTGCTTGCAGGGCGCTTAGGTTTTGGGGTTTTGGGTTGAGGGTTCGGGGTTTAGGGTTTGGATTTATGTGTAATGTAAATGTATGTATGTATGTATGTATGTATGTAGGTATGTAGGTATGTAGTTATGTAGGTATGTAGGTATGTAGGTATGTAGGTATGTAGGTATGTAGGTATGTAGGTATGTAGGTATGTAGAAGTCTATGTGTCCGTGTATACACCTTTCAACGTACATAACAATGCAATGTGCATGCATCTTTATATATGCATATATGTATGTTCGCTTGGTTTCTCGGGTCTAGGGTTTTTTCAGGGTTCAGGTTAGGGTTTATAGGGTTTATATAGGGGGTTTCGGGGGGTCTAGGGTCTGGGGTTTTAGGGTTTAGGGTCTAGGGTTTAGGTTTAGGGTTTAGGGATGGACGGTTTCGGTTTCTTTGGCAGCACACCATTGCCATTTCAATATTTTTGTTTATCTATATGCGCTTTTTGTTTTTTTGAATTTCTTCGATTTTCCTGATGAATTTCTTACGCGGTTTCTATGCGGTGTTTACGCTGTTCTCAAATACGCATAAACACAACATAAAAACGTCATAGATTGTGTGCGGCTTTTTAACCACATAAAAAACGCATAAAAAATCATAATCTTTCACAAACACGAAAAACCGAAAACATCAAGCACTTTTTGGTGGAAATACATAAAGTTCGTACATCGTGATGTGCGCTAACAGACTCTACAGGTACTGAGCCCTAAACCCAGTCCTACAAGCTTACGTGTGACCGTGGGCACTTTATCGAAAAACTGTCTCTATTTGCGCGCTGCTCTGGAGCATGGCTATAGTTTTCCATGTGGGGACACAAGCTTTGCCTTCGAGCACGCAAGATTTTCCTGCGAACACGCATCTGTGTCGTCGGTCACAGGATTGTGCTCCGTATAAGCAGTGTGGTTTGTTCGCTTGCGTGTTTGTGGAGAACACATGGCGGACGAGGCAGTGGCCATGCCGGCAAACGCCGAAGTGGAAGAACTCGAAGACAATGATCAGCCTCAGAAGAAGCCTGCCTCCAAAGAAGCTTGGGCTTGCCAGTCAAGGCTGTGCTGGCACAGCGCAGGGCGACTGACAGATCTCTTGTAATTCATTGTTGAGGCCCTCGTCGCTGTGGGCAAAACGCATGCATGTTAGAAGGAAAAGAAGCTTTCTCGTCCTCTTCCTCTACAAGCCGCACTCTGTTGCTGCATCATTAAATATAACATGCCTCCAAGCTGCCACCTTGTGGCCCTTGAATCGGGCACCCCTGCACCATGTGCCGGATGTGTTCGTGGAGGTAGTCGGCCCCGAACCTGCTCTCTTGTGACAGACCATACAAGACCTGAGATGGAAATTTGTGGGCGGCTCTACTGGAATGACCGAAAATATAGATTGTAGATACAGGGGTGTCAGTGGAGAATAAGAATCAAATCCCAATCCATCCGAGAATCAGACCCAACCTGCACGTCTGTCACCTGCAGCTGTGTGAGGCACCAGGCCACATGTGGCAAATCTGACCACACCCCGTCTTCGAAAACCATCGGCGTGTGGTCCCCGAACTGCCTGGTGCCTTTCAGGGTATGGTGTATGACGCCAACAGACATTACTTCGGAGGGAATTGCGAGGCCTTTGTAACCATAATAGAAGCGATGCTTCAAAAACTCAGACAAATGTAGGGAACCCTGCCTCGGTCCCCTGTCTTGGGCGGTCGGCTCCAGTGCTCAGCCCGTAGCCATGCGAAGGTGACCTTGTTGAGCTCGCTCCAGAACTTCGAGCACGCAGAGGCTGCCACTGGAACCAATACATTAATTCAGGGTCTCGGTGATCTCTGGGAACCCACTAATGTATTGGAGGCTCCCCGTGCGGGTGACTCGTCTTACATTGCAAGTACAACCCTGGGGGGATGGCCTGGTATTCGGGCCCCTGGATATCTTGCGCACCGCACGCACGCACTGCTCTATCACCAATCTGCTGCGAAAGAAGAGCCAGCATTTCCTCTGACCACAAGCCAAGATGCTCCAAAGGTTTCAAAGGATGTGCTTCGTTGACTCAACTGCTGTCAAGGCACGACCCATGCGATGACGCCACTTCATAGCTGGCTCTGACCACAGCAAGTCGGACCTGCGTGTGATGCAAACATATGCACACATCTAAATACCTACTTGCTGACATAGACTAGAGCCGTGATAAGGAGCGCGGCTGTTGACTGATGAAGTTGATGTTGCAGGGACTGTGGTTCTCATTCGGACCTGACAAGTGGATTGCATGCTGGGATGTAGTCTACATTCTACATATAATACTGCCAGGCAGGAGCCACACCTAGATATCGGGCCTGAATCCAGTGCTCTCTGGATGAGTCGACCAGGACACCACTCGAAGTTCAGGTCCATCTTCCTTCCAGCAAGCACAAGGTAAGGAACCCTCATCATCGCACAAGCAGACGCACGTGGTAACAGCCCGTTCCAATGTCGAACCCGAAGCGGCTCCTGAAGATCTGGCGATAATCGGACCCTCCGAGCTCCTGGTGTGCTGGAATTTAGGAGCTCAGGATCATGGTGAGGTGCTTTGTCGTTCACTTACATTGCAAAGCTGAAGTTTTGCAGCAAAGGGTCTCAGCCAGAATCAGAAGCTGATGAGCAACAGGGGCCACGTAGGGGCGATGGCTCTGAAAGGCTCCCAAACCCTAAAGACCGAAGCTGTTTGCAAGTGCCCCTCAGGCTGTACATGTGTATGTGTCTGTTCTATTTCCTGTCTGATGCTTCAGGAGGTCGACTGCGTTTTTTGTGAAGTCCAGAGTTTTGCCTCTCGCAAGTCGGACAATGCAGGCTGTACAGGTTAGAGGTACATGTTGAGACATGTCCACACGCCATGTCCTGTCATGATGTCATAACTTGCCATGATCTGAAAATCGGGCCGAACAACAATCAAGCAGTGCTCCCACCAGCCATGCAAACTTCCACGAGGAAAGGACAGACGCAGCATTGCACTTGTGCCTCGGTCGCGACCATGAGCTCGAACGGAAGTCGATTCGGACCTGCAAACAGTAAACCACACTACCTTCACAAACTCATGACAAAACTCAACAATGTGGCTCAGCATCTGAATTCAAGGCCGGCTGATGATGGCCACACAGAGGATGAGTGTGTGCGTGTGTGTGTGTGTGCGCTCATGTCTGCGTGGAAGAACAACAACGATGAAACAATGATGCCCCCCATGACCCCCACGACGACTGCACCACCACCACTGCCCCCCCACATCCCAAATGACCGAAACTGATCAAACGATGATCACTCCAAACAAAGGTCACCCTGGTCTAGGGTCACCCTTTGCACTTCCCGATTTTTTCTTGAACAACACTTTTTTTGAGTAAAGTGACTTCTCTCGCGGCGTGGGGGCGCACAGCATCTTAGAAAAGCCACTTTTCTCGAAAAGGCATTTTTCTCGAAAAGCAACTTTTCTCGAAAAAACACTTTTTGCAAAAAGTGACTTTCTGGCGACGGGGGGTGCGCAGCGTGCGCGAAAAGTCACTTTTCCCGAAAAGCCACTTTTCTCGAAAAGCAACTTTTTGCGAAAAGGGACTTTTCTCGCGACGTTGGCCCGCGCAGCGTCCGCGAAAAGCCACTTTTGTAGAAAAGCCACTTTTCTCGAAAAAACACTTTTTACGAAAAGTGACTTTGCTCGCGACGTTGGAGCGTGCAGCATCCGCGAAAAGCCGCTTTTATAGAAATATAGAAAAGCCACTTTTCTCGAAAATCCACTTTTTGCGAAAAGCAACTTTTCTGGTCGGTTTTCCCGCTAACCAGGAAGACGCATCGTGTGACAGCTTAGCAAGTCCAGACCCTAAACCCTCCCAGACCTTAAACCCTAAACTCTACCGAACCAGGATTTTGTGATTGGAAAGAGCAGGTTAAGGGTACTTATTAACACAAAACTAACTGTACATATAGCCCAACTATAACCCTATTGGGGCAGTTGGGGGCTTATACATGGGTTATAAGTACAGTTCTAATTGGTTTATAGGTACCATGAACCTCCAAGTACACCCTCAACATTAGGGCCAAGGACGCCTGAGCCTAAACCCTAAACCCTAAACCCTAAACCCTAAACCCTAAACCCTAAACCCTAAACCCTAAACCCTAAACCCTGTCTCAGGGGCCGACATTTCAGGTGCCAAGCGACGAGGATCCTAACTCGACGGGGCTCAGGTGGCCAATCTCCCCCCCAAAAAAAGGGTTTAGGGTTTAGGGTTTGGGGTTTGGGGTTTAGGGTTTAGGGTTTAGGATGAGGATCAGGATGATGGTGGTCATGACTCTTAGCTAGGGTCAGGCTTTGGGATGCTTCCCCTGAGACTGAAAGCTCCTTAATAGGATTCAGGGTTTAGGGCTTAGGATGTAGGGTTTGGGGTTTGGGGATGTTCACCTTCATGCTAACAGTCCTTAGTAGGGATTATCATAGGGGGGGGGGGACTAGAATCCCTATTAGGACTGCTAGTACAAGGGGGAACATCCCAAGTTAGGCTGGCGAAGGGTCTTGGAAGGGAAAGGGGTTCAGAGTTTTTGGGGTTTGCTGTGCTACATGCAACCCCCATCCCCAGGACCGTAGATACACTCACCTATGCCAATAACAGAAACATCCCACAACTCTAAACCGTGAACCACAAAATCTGTTTCATATGGGGGCTTACGAAATTATTGGGGGTACCTTATTGGGGGGCCCTTGTCATAAGGGATCCTACTATCTGGTGGTGTATATTAAGGTCCCCCAAACCCTAAACCCTAAACCCGAAACCCGAAACCCTAAACCCTAAACCCCAGTTTTCGGAATCCCCCATATGGTGCTGAAGCAGGATGTCTGCGCGCCCACTGATGGAATGCCGCCCGGCTGAGGATTATGAGGGCCTAGAGACGAGTCGAAATGTGGCTTCCATGTTGGGTTGAGGGTTGAGGGTTTAGGGCTTAGGGTTTAGGGTTTAGGGCTTAGGGCTTGGGGTTTAGGGCTTAGGGCTTAGGGTTTAGGGCTTAGGGCTTGGGGTTTAGGGCTTAGGGCTTGGGGTTTAGGGTTTAGGGCCTTTAGGGTTTGGGGCTTAGGGTCCCAAGAGGAAGGAAGCACACCCAGTGGACCCCGCAACCACCCGTGGCCTCGCGAGAAAGAGCCTGCGGCAGGTTGCCTGGCTCAGTGGAGCTCTGAGGATGTCGACTTCTTAAAGTTTAGGGTTTAGGATTAGGGTTTAGGGCTTGGGGCCCTAAACCCTAAACCCTAGCCCGAAACCCTAAACCCTAGCCCTAAACCCTAAACCCTATATCCCAAACTGAAGACCATCCCACCGGAAACACCACGAAGCGCATCTTCAAGCCCGAGCAACAACAACACGGCACCCCACCTGAAACGCTATTTGCCACAGTTTCATGGTTTACCTAGCCCTATCGGTCTATGGTAGGGTGTAGGGTTTAGGGTTTAGGGTGTAGGGTGTAGGGTTTAGGGTTCAGGGTTTAGATCCCTATTGTACACAGCATGGAGCATCCATAGATGTGCGAACCCTGAAACCCTAAAAGCCCTTAAAAGCCCTCGACCCACCCCCCCCCCCCAAAAAAAAAAAAAAAAGAAAAGAAACTCAATAAATAAAACGAAATAAAAACACCCTCAAAAACACGCCTGAACGACAACTAACAACCATTAAACAACAAACCTTAGAACACACTAAGAACCCGAACAAAAAGACAATAAACAACTTTAATCGCCCTACACACAAACCGCTTGAAAGCCCTGGAAAGCCCTCAACAGCCCGAAAAGAACCCTGAGAAGCCATAAACCCTAAACCGCAAAGCCTAAACCCCAAACTTCAAACCCTAAACCTAACTCCTAAACCCTAAACCCTAAACCCTAAATCCTAAACCCTAAGCCCTAAACCCTAACTCCTAAACCCTACATCCTAAACCCTAAATGAGCCCTAAAAACCCTCATTCAGGGCCTCCTCAGCCAGGCCAGCCTCTTCCTGAAGTCCACGGGAAAGTATCCCTAAACCCTAAACCCTAAACCCAAATCCCTGCACCCTAAACTAACCCTGAAGCAGTAAGTTAACCCCTAAAGCCCTCAATGAGGCCCAAAACACCCTCAGTGCTACCCTTTCCCCCTTAAGACCCCCCAAAAAACCTCAGATATCCCTAATCTCTAGTCCAGGGGTTCAGGGTGTAGGTCCAGAAGGTGATTCCTTCCCAGTACTTGGCGCCACGCACAGAGGACGGTGCATTTGGGGTTCGCGATTATCCTTGCCAAGCTCTATGAACAGGACTGCCCAAACCCCCCAAAAAGCACTACTTGTTTAAGAACCAGCCCCAAGAAGATCTCCCTTATACGGGCAATCTAGGGATTATCGTTTTCGATGTCTGTTTAAGGAGGGGGGTTCTTAAGTACATAGTAGAAAAAACACCTTTGTGGGTGTAGGGTTTGGGGTTTAGGGTTTAAGGACCGAGGACTATTCGTGGGTATTTAGGTTTAACGGTTTCTATGTAAACCCTCTCGGGTTTCGGGTTTCGGGTTTAGTGGAGTCCCTCCGCTGAGGCTTTGGGGGTGCCTTCATCGCCTCATCCTGATGCAGGCAGGGTTCCGAGTGGCGCGCCGTGCGACAGAGGCGGGCGAAGCGCGAAAGGCCGTGGAATACCTGCGCCTTCGGTGGTGAAGGACTGTCGGGCTGTACAGTTAAGGGCTTGGGGTTTAGGGTCTAGGGTTTAGTTTTATTTTATTTTTTCCGCCGAGCCCTTGAACCCGAAGAACCACGGATCCATGTCCCAAGGCTTTGGGGCTAAACAGTTTAGGGCTTAGGGTAGCTCTCAAGTAAAGCCTCTGAACGCTGAACCCGAAACTCCTAAGCTCCTCACTAAGCGCCTAGAAGCCCTTAAGAAAGCCCCAACCCCAAATTCCAAACCCTAAATCCTAAACCCTAAACCCTAAACCCTGAATCCTAAATCCTAAACCCTAAACCCTAAACCCTAAACCCTAAACCCTCAACCCTAGCCCTAAACCCTAAACCCCAAACCCTAAACCCTAAGCCCTGCCCCTGAATCCCTTGCCATGTATCCCAAGCCCAGGGGCCAGGAGGGCAACGTCGCCGCTGCTGCGGTAGCTCAGGGCCAGGAAGAAGCCGCGCTGGAAGAGGCGCTCCTCGCAGGTTTAGGGTTTAGGGTTTAGGGTTTAGGGTTTAGGGTTTAGGGTTTAGGGTTTAGGGTTTAGGGTTTAAGGGTTCGGGTCTTCATAGACAAGAACTCCCCGAACCCATCAAGCCTCAGAACCTTGCCTATAGAACCGAAGGTTTAGGGTTTAGGGTTTAGGGTTTAGGGTTTAGGGTTTAGGGTTTAGGGTTTAGGGTTAACCCTAAACCGTATTCGTAAACCCTAAACCCTAAACCCTGAACCCTGAACCCTAAACCCTATCTCGGTCCTTCATTCGCGCCTGGGCATCGTGTGCCGCCCTTAGCTCTTCCTGCAGTTGTTTGCTTCAGGGTTCATGGGTTCGGATGTTCCCCCTTATACTAACAGTCCTTAATAGGGTTTAGGGTTTAGGGCTTAGGGCTTAGGGTTTTGGATGTTCCCCCTTATACTAACAGTGCTGAATAGGGAATATCAGAGGGAGTACTTGAATCCCTATTAGGGACTGTTGGTATAAGGGGAACATCCCAATTCATGGGGCCTAGGATGCATTATAACCTTTGCATAGCATGTAATGTCTTCAGATCTGGTCAATACTGTGTAGATGATGTTCTATATAGAAGGACATACTATATACATATATGTATATGCAGCTTAAACTGTTTATCTACGTATTGTTACGGGTCTTACTACAAGTAACTGGTTATGGGAGCCAATGGGTTTAGGGCTCGGATCTGCCATCCAGTGCAATCCCAGTATCTGTGTTGGGGGGTGGTTCAAGGTTTAGGCGTTCAGGGTTTTAGATCTACAGGGTTCGGGGTTTTAGATCTAAAGAGTTTAGGGTTTAGGTGTTCAGGGTGTTAGATTTACAGGTTTTAATTGGCATTGTGCACATGGAGTTCTGGAAAGATCCCGAGCGGCTGCCTCCAGTTGTCGCGTCTGCGTCTCGGCAGTCGTCAACCTTGATGGTGCCAAACGAATAAAAACAAAGACTGAAATCCCAAATCTAAGCGTCTGAGAATCTAAACCTCTGCCCTGCAGCCCCAAACCTCCCCGAGCCTGCCCAAACCTTCCTCAACCCCCCTTACAGTAACCCCCAACAACAGCAACCGTTCGTTTCTGTCGGCTTCAACCACCCATAAACCGCAAACCCAAAACTCGAATAGCTTCTCCGCCCCCACGTGGCAACTCCCCCCTTTGATATTAATCCCCGCCCTAATATTAACCCCAACAACTACCCCTAATTAATATCAAATACTCCCATTAGTGTTATATTATAGTATATTGGGGGGGGGGGGTATTTAATGTTGGGGGGTGTGGCGGGGGTTAATATGAGGGGGAGGGGGAGGGGATTAAAAGTTCCCGCTATCGAAAACAATATGCATGAACACAGGGACTTCGTGTTGCAGGGAGGGGAGGCGTTCAAGGAGGGCATTTCACAGCGACTTGTTGGTGATCCCCCCGACCCCAAACATATCTTTCTGGGAACATAACCAGGATTCTATAAAGAGTCCTGAAGTGAGTGGGGTTCAAGAAGGGTATGTAACCTAAGGTTCCCCAACTCCCCACTACTCCCGATAGGGCTCCCGAGGCTTCCCCAAGGTTCCCTACGTACCTACCCCCTAAACCCTAAACCCTAAACTTTAAACCCTAAACCCTAAACCCTAAACCCTAAACCCTAAACCGCCCTATAAACCCTGTGACTCTTTCTGATGGGCCCTTGGGTACTCTTCATCTTGAAAGCACCATCGTAAACCAGACAAGCATTGGTCTCGATGCGTCCCCTACGCAACAGGACTCAGATCGAGCCATACATGGTCCCTTTTAATCAGGGTTTAGGGTTCAGGGTTTAGGGTTTAGGGTTTAGGGTTTAGGGTCCATCTTTCAATAACTGATATGAGGTTGGCACGAGACAAAATCCTTGGTGGAACCAGGATAGTACGCCTCACCTTGGCGCGGAACTTATCGCTCAAGGGGGCGTGTAAGAATGCCTTCCGAATGTCCAACATCGCTGAAGCCCATTCTTCAAGGGCTGATTGCCCCAGCCGAATCCGTAGTGCAATCGAATCCAACCCTGAAGCATACACGTCCTTTCGAGAAAGAACATTGGGCTGGTCGGTCATCTCACCGTCCGCATTCTTCTTTTGGATATTGCCACAAGCAACGATCCTCGCCCGCCTCTTGCCAACAAGAGGTTTCCTGGTAAATACAACTTTAGCTGGCACAATCTCCATGGCGCAGTTCTTAATGTCTTCCTCACATAACTCGGGTGGATTATGGCGATTATAAGGCCTAGTAGCCACAAATTAGCTGGGCAACGCGGGCTTTCATGAGATGCTTCTGGGTCTTGCCATGCATGCACGCCACACCTTAGGGCCTTCGGGGCTTCGGGGCCTTGGGGTCTTAGGGCTCAGGACTTCGGGCTTCTTGGCTAAAGGTAATCTCATGCAGCTGCAGCACAGCTCCTCCATCTGCTGTGCTCGCTGCCCCGCGATCCGCAGCTGCTCCTCCGCATGGCGCATGGCTCTAAAACATCCTGAGCCCTAAATCATAAAATAGGTACGACGTTACTGCATCTAGTTGCGATGTACTTCATATGTATTCGTCTGTCTAGAGCACATACATACATATAATGGCACATACATATACATGTACATGGCAGTTGATGAGAATACCTGTTCCCCAAATTTACTACATTCCCCCCTATAAAAATTTCCGAAGAAGGGCCTTAAACCCTAAACCCTAAACCCTAAACCCTAAACCCCAAACCCTAAACCCTAAACCCTCCACATACAACACACACGTAGCATGAAGGGTTCGGGGCCGGGAAGCGGGAAGGGGGGGGGGGGGGCTTCGGTCCTCCAGGGAGTTGTGGCGATCCCCAGACATGGACAAGCGCATCCTGGGATTGATCCGGGTCGCATAGATGGGGGCTTCCGAAGCTAGGGGTACCCAAGAAAGTCCCCCAATTAGGGCTTAGGGTTTAGGGTTTAGGGCTTAGGGTTTCGGGCTTCGGGTTTACGATTTCCGAAATTCGGGGTACTTATTGGGGTCCACAAGGGAATGAATCCTACCGTTCGGGGGTCTATTGTAGGGGTCCCCTTTTTTGTAAACTTCCATATCAAAAAATGGTCAAGAGCGCGAGCTCTTTTTCAACTGAGCAGAAGCGGTATGACTGAAAGCGATTGATTTCACAAGCTAATTGATCTTATAGAGTCATTAAGGGAGGGGGGTTCGTGGGAGGTAGGTACCTATGGAACCTTAGGGAAGCATTGGATGCAGTGAGGGGCATTAGGGAAGGGTGGTTTCAGTTCCAGAGTTAGGTTCAAAGGGGGGGGGGGGGGGATCCAGGATGAGTCATGGACCCGCATCTCTCCACGAAGTCCTGAGACCACTTTCGAGCTGGGGAGCACCGGAACAAAACCCTAAACCCTAAACCCTAAACCCTAAACCCTAAACCCTAAACCCTAAACCCTCCTGTTGAAGAATAGACCTGATGGCCTCCACAATGTTGTGCATGTCGTCTGGCTGCAAGCGCCGGAACTTAGAGAGATCAACCCTAAACCCTAAACCCTAGACCCTAGACCCTAGACCCTAAACCCTAAACCCTAAACCCTAAACCCTACCGCCGTCCGGCCTCATGCCACTAAGCCACTGAGCATGAGCAGGGCATGAAAGGTTTCATAAATTCACTTCACAACCCAGCAGCCAGGGTTTAGGGTTTAGGGTTTAGGGTTTAGGGTTTAGGGTTTAGGGTTTAGGGTTTAGGGTTGCGAAAATAAGCCCTCGAAACTCACAGCCTGATTGAATCATGTCTCTGTGATTCAGGGCTAAGTACTAGAGCCCTGGGAGAATATCGGCCGGCCTGACAAATCCTGGAGAGCAGTGTGCTCAATCGCTCTTCTATGTTGCGTAGTTAGAGAAAAACACGCTTGGGCAGTCGATCTTTAAGGCTTAGGCTCTAGCAATCCAACGCAAGCGTGAGACTCAATAATCCCCCAGAGGCACCGAATCTTTAAAAACAACCTTTAGAACAACAAACACCAAAACCCTAACTATCTGTCTGTCTTCCTTTATTTCTGCACTCATGCCTTTCTATATTATGTCTCTGAGCATTGCCTTCTTTAGTTGACTATTTCTTTCTGTCGGTCTTTGCTTCTATCAGACGGCCTCGCTCCCCTCAAAGAGCCAAATACCCCTTCATTAAGGAACATACCTTAAATCATATTAAGGATCCCGAAACAAATTAAGGTGTATATATATATATATATGTACATGTTCCTTTTAAGGGGTATTTGGGCTCTCTGGGCCTGTGGAAGAACAAGAACTCCGGATGAAAGCCCAAAAACCCTACAGCGCCCTAAGCCCCAAAACCCTAAAACCCCCTTGCCCGGCCTGCAGGTACCCCTATAGCATGGCCTAAACCCTAAACCCTGAGCCCTAAACCCTAAACCCTAAACCCTAAACCCTAAACCCTAAACCCTAAACCCTAAACCCTAAACCCTAAACCCTAAACCCTAAACCCTAAACCCTAAACCCTAAACCCTAAACCCCAATCTCAGAGGGGGGTGGTCTAAAATTGCACCCCAAGCTTCTCGAGCTCGGTCAGGTCCGTGCGGGCCTCCAGCTCTCAATTCGGGTTTAGGGTTTAGGGTTTAGGGTTTAGGGTTTAGGGTTTCGGGTTTAGGGTTTCGGGTTTAGGGTTTAGGGTTTAGGGTTTAGGGTTTAAGGGTTAAGGGTTTGGGGTTTGGGGGTTTGGGCTTTGGGCTTTGGGCTTTGGGCTTTGGGCTTTGGGCTTTGGGGTTTGGGGTTTGGGTTTGGGGTTTGGGGTTTGGGGTTTAGGGTTTGGAGTTTGGGGTTTGGGGCTTAGGGTTTAGGGTTTAGGGTTTGGGGTTTGGGGTTTGGAGTTTGGGGTTGAGGGTGTAGGGTTTAGGTCTTCGGGTTTAGGGTTTCGGGTTTAGGGTGTAGGGTTTAGGGGTTCCCCAAGGTGAAAGCCTTCAAGCCTTAAAAAAGCCCTGAACCCGAAGCCCTAAACTTCCAAACAACAGGGTCTTAGGCTACTTTAGGGCGTAGGGTTTTAGGGGTTTAGGGGTTTAGGGGTTTAGGGGTTTAGGGGTTTAGGGGTTTAGGGGTTTAGGGGTTTAGGGGTTTAGGGGTTAGGGGTTTAGGGGTTTAGGGTTTAGGGTTTAGGGTTTTAAGGGAGACTTCAGGGTCTAGGGTTTCGGGTTTGGGGCATGAGGTTTTGGCGCTTGGCGCTTAGGGCTGCTTCTTGTTGCTGTTCTTCTTCTTATTCTTCTTACCTGACTCCGAGACACTTCATGCTCAGATGGGGGTTTTCGAAAATAGGGGGTGCCTTTTTGGGGTCCGTTTTAGAAGGGGTCCGTATTTTCGAAAAAAACCCATATCAGCATATCTATACTCCTGAGACCCGAAGCCAGGCGCATTCGCATTCTGAGAAACCCACAACAAGCCAACAAACCCTGCAAAGCCTACAAACCAAACAAACCCTACAAACCCTACAACCCTACAAACCCTAAACCCTACAAACCCCTCAGCCTTAACCGTAGACGCCCAAACCCAAAAACCTGCAAACAGCTAAACCTTCACCGTATAAACCCTGAACCCTAACCCTACAAACCCTAAACCCTACAAACCCTCAACCCTGAACCCTAAACCCTAAACGTTAAACCCTAAACGTTAAACCCTAAACCCTAAACCCTAAACCCGAAACCCTAAACCCTAAACCCCAAGCAAACCCTCTACGCCCAAGATATGTTCAACCTGCCTGGAGGAGCTGCCGCTCAGTCTTCATGGCGCGGTCCTGGCAGATGTCAGGTTTAGGGTTTAGGGTTTAGGCTTTAGGCGTTAGGCTTTAGGCTTTAGGGTTTAGAGTTCAGGGTTTAGGGTTTGGGGTTTAGCGTTTAGGGTTTAGGGTTCAGCGTTCAGGGTGCTTAGGTTTCCGGGTCGTATTTGCTTTTCTTTTTTCGGTTGGTTATTCCCATTTTGTCTGGGTAGGGTTGAGGTTAGGGTTTCGGGTCAGGCCAGGGCTTAGGAATCTGGATTTTTGTTGAAAATGTAAAGCGTCTAGGGTTTGGGTTGGGGGCCGTGCTGTCTGAAAATACTCATGACTAAAACCCTCTTGAACCTGAGCAGGGAACGTATGAGAAATCCCTAGGGTTAGATCCACGCCCGGGCAGCCATTGGATCAAGAACCATGTGAAGTAAGGTTTACATTGCCAGTCTCACCAGCCCTAAACCCTAAACCCTAAACCCTAAACCCTAAACCCTAAACCCTAAACCCCGGCATTTTCAGTCGCCAGCATCCCTAGGGAGCCCAATATTCACCAAAACCCTACCTAGCTTGCCCAGCAACCTGGGATTGAAAAAGGGCGCCCTGTTTTGCTTAAAGGGGTTTATAAGGCAACCTGAAGACCTAAAAAGGGGAGTAAAGGGCACTACTTGGCATCCTAGTTCAGGCGCACCTGAAAACTGCACGGCTTCGCCACAAACACCCACCCTCAACTCCAAACCCTGAACCCTAAACCCTTTTAAACCTTTAAACCCTTAAACCCTTAAGCCTTGAAACCCGTAAACCCTTAAGCCCTTAGACCCTTAAGCCCTTAAGCCCTTAAACCCTGAGGCTCTTAAACCTCCTAAACCCCCTAAGACCTTGAACAAAAAAGCACGGCCTCCGCGGCGGAGAGCTTCTCTCTCATGCGCCTTGACTTCTGCAGGCTACCCTAAACCCTAAACCCTAAAGCCTTAACCCTAAACCCTAAACCCTTAACCCTAAACCTTCCCTCTATCTCCTCTACTTCGTCTGAACCCTGCAATTTCGACCCCAGGGATGACCCCAAACAGAGAACCTCCAAGTAGTGCCCTATACGGTTTAGGGTTTAGGGTTTAGGGTTTGGGGTTTAGGGTTTAGGGTTTAGAGTTTAATTAGGGCTACTATTGGGTTATTCTTGGGAACCCTTAAGGGGATCTACTTTTGGGATCCTCCCAGGGTCTGGGAATACTTAGCCCCTCAAACCCTTTCACCCTAAGCCCCGCCTAACACCTTAAACAACTATAAACCCTAAACCCTAAACCCGAACCCTAAACCCTAAACCCTAAACCCTTCCTGGTCATCTGGTTCGAACACAGAGTTTCAGTAGGGTTGCTTATGAGGCCTTGAGTGTGATTTCTACCAAGAAAAGTACGTACTCCCCGGCCCCCCCCCCCCCCCCCCCCAAAAAAAAAAAAAAAAAAAAAGAGGAGCTTCAGCTAGAGATCTGGGCCGGCTTATCTCTTAGGGTTGTCAACCCTGAATCCTGCCTCTGAGTCCCCCAAACGCTACACCCCAAACCCTGAGCCCTAAACCCTAAACCCGAAACCCTAAACCCTAAACCCTAAGCCCTAAACCCGAAACCCTAAACCCTAAACCCCTAAATCCTGAACCCTAAACCCAACTCCGCACATGACAGAGACTTGCACGCAACTTGACGAGCACACACTCCCACGCTTAGGGTTTAGGGTTTAGGGTTTAGGGTTTAGGGTTTAGGGTTTAGGGTTTAGGGTTTAGGGTTTAGGGTTTAGGGTTGCAATCTTACCCCTCCTAGTACCCATAAATACGTATATAGTACCTATACTACACTACACAAGTAGAAAACAAAAAACTACCCAAGTAAACTGGCAAACCGCCAAAACCCGAAACTCAACCTAAGCAAACCCCCCAAACCTAAACCCTGAACCCCCTAAACCCTGAACCATAAACCCTGAACCACAAGACCCACTCTTGCCCGGCCTTGCATCACCATCGGAGGCAGCGGCACGCAGAAGCTGAGCCTCTGGGGCTTTGAGGGCGAAGGGTTTAGGGTTTTAGGGTTTAGGGTTTAGGGTTTAGGGTGAAGGGTGAAGGGTTAAGGGTTTAGTCAAGTCGCCGGGGCTTACAAAACTTCAGACGGGCAGGGTCGGCAGGGTCTGGGGCTTAACCCCAAACCAACCCTGCGCCCCAATAGACCCTAAACCCCAAACCCTAAACCCTGAACCCTAATCCCTGAACCCTAATCCCTGAACCCAAACCCTAAACCCGAAGCCCTAAACCGCCTGCAGCAAGTTCCGCGCAAAGTTGGCGAAGCCCCAGGCCAGCAACACTGGAGCGGTGGGCGAAGGCGTAGTGGCCTGGAGCTCCCCGAAACCCTACAGAAATTAAGCCTGCGCAGGGCTTAGGGTTTAGGGCTTAGGGTTTAGGGTTTAGGGTTTAGGGTTTAGGGTGTAGGGTTTAGGGTTTAGGGTTTAGGGCTTATGGTCAACATGGGGGGGTTGCCTACAACAAGGGTAGCCTTGTTGGGGGTTCCTATAGGTCATTTGTGGGTATGCGAGGGATCTCCCCATTTTCGGAAACACCCGATTCTTCAACGGTGGTACGTGGGTTACCTGAATTTTGTCGGGCGTACGTCCGAGATGCCTCGAGGTTCCTTGATGAACATGGTTTCCGAATTCTCTTGTTGTTTGAACTACCCTAAACCCCAAACCCCAAACCCGGAACCCTGACCCGAAACCCTGAACCCCAACCCCTAAACCCTAAACACTAACCCCTAAACCGCTTAGGGGGTCTACGGCCTGCATGGAAGCAGACCGGCTCGTCAGAGCCTGCCGCTCGAAGTCATCGATCTGGGCCTCCTGGCACACTTAAGGGTGTGGGGTTTTTGGGGCGTAGGGCTTAGGGTTTAGTGTTAGGGTTTAGGGTTTAGGGTTTAGGGTTTAGAGTTTAGGGTTTAGGGTTTAGGGTTTAGGGCTTAGGGCTTAGGGTTTAGGGTTTAGGGTTTAGGGTTTAGGGTTTAGGGTTTAGGGTTTAGGGTTTAGGGTTTGGGGTTTGGGGTTTAGGGTTTAGGGTTTAGGGCTTAGGGTTTAGGGTTTAGGGTTTAGGGATTAGGGTTTAGGGTTTAAAGTTAGGGTTTAGAATTTAGGGTTTGGGGTTTGGGATTTAGGGTTTAGGATATCCCCCTAGAAGGGACCCTGAATCTTATTCCCGTGTATGACCCCTTTGCATACCTTATAGAGTCACGCGGACTAGGTCGCCAGGCTAGGACGCCAGGGCGTACCCGATCAGCGTCAGCCTGAAGAGTCAGCTGTTGGACGTCAGAGTGTTGGCATTAAAACACATCAGGAATCATCGGCCAAGCAACTGAGGCAGCGATCCCTCTGTTCATGATCCATGCAATCAGACAAGGCTGCGTGAACGAGGAGAAATAGAAGTGGCCGCCAGGTATCTTGCGCGCTGGAACGTTCCGCTGAGTGACCCCTGTCACCTCGTTGCATAACTTCGGATCAGCCACCGCAAAGAGGCGCCAAGGGGCTGTGTTTCAGGTCTGGCCCTAAACCCTAGTTCCTAAACCCTGAACTTAAACCCTAAACCCTAGTTCCTAAACCCTAAACTTAATCCCTAAACCCTAGTTCCAAAACCCTAAACCCTAAACTCCGCCCAAACAGCCCAAACAGTCCTTGGCGACCAAGGATCGCTGCAAGTCCTTGGCTTAATGAAGTTCCTTTGAGCTCGACAGCTTGGGAGCTTGGAGGGGGGAGGGCGGGGGTGGGGGACTCCAACTCTATACTTGGGCGGGGGGGGAGGTGGGTGGCAGTAGAGCCCAAACCCGAAAGCCAAAGCCCTATTCCGATTAAACCCTGGGTTGTAGGCTCTAAGGCTGTAGGATTTGCTTTTTCAGCCTCAAGCCCTGCCTGAGAAGCTCTGTCTGACCTTGAAGGAAGCCCTCTATGTAGGTTTAGGGTTTAGGGTTTAGGGTTTAGGGTTTAGGGTTTAGGGTTTAGGGTTTAGGGTTTAGGGTTTAGGGTTTAGGGTTTAGGGTTTAGGTTAGGGTTTAGGGTTTAGGGTTTAGGGTTTAGGGTTTAGGGTTTAGGGTTTAGGGTTTAGGGTTTAGAATTTAGGGTTTAGGGTTTGGGGTCTAGGGGTTGGGGACTTTCGCGCTCGACCCTCGGGCTTAAGGTTGGATGCGCGTTAGGAACCCAGGATGTGCAGACGGGGTGGGGGGGCGATAGTCCCTTTTGGGGATCCTATCAAAACCTTGGACCTCATACATAGGATATAGGGGTTTAAGGCTGGTTTTGGGTTTAAGGTTTAGGGTTTAGGACTCAAAACGACCCTTCCATGATGCAGAGAATCCTCTCATATATACCGGAACTCACTCCGCGTGTTTGCCCGTGTGCAGATGAATCTTCAGAAAAGGCCTCAGGGCCAAGGAGGAAGGGCTTAGGAGTCTGAATTCCACCCAAGCCCCCACCCCCCCCCCTCTACCCGGACCCTCAGGTAGAACCCGAAACCCTATATCCCTGAACCCTAAAACCCTAAACTCTGGGGCAAAAAACTAAACCCTAAACGCTTAACCTTAACCCCTGCTGCCACAAACACCTAAGTGCCCCAAGCCAAGGAGCACCGCCCTCCTGAAACCCCGAAAACCCTAACAGGGTTTAGGGTTTAGGGTTTAGGGTTTAGGGTTTAGGGTTTAGGGTTTAGGGTTTAGGGTTTAGGACTTCTCGGGTCTAGGGTTTAGGGTTTAGGATTTAGGGCTAGGGCTTTTTGGGCCCCTGGGCTCCCCCCAGGTGTGGGCGCCAAGTATCGAACATCTGCCGATCCCGGACGACGGGCTCGGTGGGCATCGTGCGCACGGAGACCTGACACCGAGGTGGAGCCTTCTTGTAGGGTTTAGGGTTTAGGGTTGAGGGTTTAGGGTTGAGGGTTGAGGGTTTAGGGTTTAGGGTAACCCCTGTATATACCTAGCGTAGTCTCGAATATACTTATAAGTAGCACCAAAAGAACCCCTGAACAGCCCCTAAGGTGTCCGTTGCTTCTAGTTTCTGAGTAGGGATCCTTACTGGGGGTTTCTGAAATAGGGGAACCCTTTCTAGGGAACGATCCCCCGCCCCCTGTCCCTCACCCTGATGCTGGCTCCACCACGAAGACATTGCTGCGGCCCTTGTGCCCTGAGAGTGGGTTACTCGGGGGGATGCTGCATGGGGTTTGGGGTTCAGGGAGATGACGGCTTGAAACCCGCTCAAAGGTGTAGGCTGTTCATGACTATGGGTGGCTCACAATGCCATCAGTTTTGGCCTTGCTCTTGCTGGGCTGTTTTGGATGCCTACCTGCAGTCACCAACACCCTGCAATGGCCCGGTGAAACATTCTGCTGCTGGAAACTTCAGTCCTTGGCCCTAGTCGTCACTGGCCGCATTGTCACTCTTCAGGCCTCGGCCCTAGGGATTTAGGGTTTAGGGTTTAGGGTTTAGGGTTTAGGGTTTAGGGTTTAGGGTTCTAGGCTTTGGAAACTTTGGATGTCAGCCGGCACCTCATGGGGAATGGGCATCCCTGGTGTTGAAACGTCATCAACAGCACCGTGTGGCTCCTGGGCCTCGACGGCGGCATCCTCATCCGAAAGCCACATGGAGACGTCCACCTCCCGATACTGATAGCCCTTGCGATCCAGCCAGGCCACTTCAGCTTTCCTCGGCTGGCCCTTAAAACCCTCTGAAAAATATTCTTGATTTTGATCCTCTTAAACCCCATAAGGGAAAAAGAAAAATGTCCCAAAGGCCTACCTAGTGTCTGGGAGTTTCCGAGGCCTTCGGAGGCTTCCAGGGACTCGGCCTCTTCTTTCGGGAGCCAGGCAAGGAAGAGGCGGTGCAGCTCCCGGCTGTACCGGGAGCTGCTGTCCTCGCGACGCTCGCGGGAGAGGCCGTCGAGGCCTTGGGCCGAGGCTGCTTTGAATTGCGGAGACTCCTTGAACTCCCTGAGCTTGCCATAGATCTCCTCTCTGCGAAGGTGCTCCGGGCCGGCGGAATCGAAGCTTTGCACCTTTCCTCTGCCAGCCAGGCCTGCAAAGAAATAAACCTCCAACTCTGCCCCACTCTCCACCGCCATCTCCACGTTTCGAAGCCACCGGGTCCACCACCTGCACCCCCAAGGCTTTGGCTCCCCATACAGAGGGATGCACCAGCAAGCATCGGGATCGTAAGAAAGACCTTCGGCTGTCGGGATCGGGTCGTGGCAGCCGTAGTCTTCCGTGCCGTCCGGCAAGAAGACAACGGCGGCGCTCACCTCCCCGGCCCGGGTGTGGCGCACCAAAGCCTCCCAGGCGCCCTCCTTGGGGACGAAATGAACCCTAAAAGGGTTTATGGTTCATATAGCCTAGTAGGAATTATAGTAGTATAGGGTATATGACCCCCATTTTAGGGTACATTTCGTCCCCAAGGCTCGTACTTCCCTGGCCAGGAAGCCACGCAGGGGCGTCCTGCTTCTGGAATCACACGGCCCTCGAAGCGGATGGTCCGGTTCTTCACCTGATCCCGAGCTCGGTCATGCTGAGCAAAGACCTCGTGAAGGTCGGGTCTGGAACTAACCTGTCCCAAAGCTCCCCTGCGGCAGTTGTAGGTCCACCAGCCGAGGCCGCCGCCGGCCACCACCCACAAGAAGAGGGACACCTGCCAAAATTCCACACCAAGCTGCCACGTTATGAAGGCCAGTGCAGCGAGGCCCAAGATACCCTCACAGTTGAAGGCCGCCCTGGCGCAGCAAGCGTAGTCCCCAAAGTTCGCGTCGCTGCGTACAGTTTTGGTGCCCCAGAACCCGACGCAGTAGCCCAGGAACAGGCAAGGGAATACCGCAAGGAGGGCTAAGGCCGACTGCTCTAGGGCACGGCCGTTGATCTCGAGCCTCAAGCTCAAGCTCAAGGCCACCAGGAACATGAAGATGGGGAGCAGGCCCCAGGCGGGCACCAGGAAAGCAATCCAAAACATCGCAAATCTGTTCCGTAGCCTCCTGGCCTCTTTGGCGATCTGCTCTTGCTGGCGCTGGTCTGCCTCCTCTCTGCGCACCTTTTCCCTCTCAGTGGCTCTCCGCTCCTCCACGTCCATCTGCTTCCCACGGAGGCTGAGTTGTCCGAAGTCTTCCGAGGCCTTCAGCACGCCATGCTTTTCGCATTCGCAGATGCCAAGCAACGTGGGCTCTTCTCTCAGCCTTAGAGTCAGCGCACGACCAGGGAGGATCAGAGACTTCGTAGGGTAGATCACCTTCCACTCTCCGATCTCATCCTTCGCCTCGACGGGTGCTGCCAGATCGTTGAGGATCTCTGCAGCCATGGCTGGCGCTGGAGGAATTAGCTTAGCACAACCACAAACCCCCAAAGTTCAGCCACCATTATATTCACCATTGCAAGGGTTGACCTTCACACGGGTTCCGGGCTGAGGGTTGCAAACAGTGGGGCTTAACAAGATGGTGCTAATACATAAACTTAAGAAGGTATGGGGATGAGAGTAGCGTGGGGGAAATACTATGATCCCAATTTGGGGCGTTGGGCCCCTGTACCTGGTTGCCCGGCAACCCAACAATCAAAACGAACAGGGAGGCCAGCTAATTATTGCCTTACGGTTTACAGGCTTTGGTTCTTTTGGGTACACTGAGAACCAACCCCCTCAACAAGGCAATCGCTGTGCTATTGGGCATCTCTGCCTACGTGGGAACCATTGATTAAAGGGTGCCGAAGTAGCCTAAACCCTGAACCTGAGACCCTAAACCCTAAGAACAAGGAACAAGGTACAGGCATCGTGGCAGCTGGAGCTGTGAGCACCCATTCGTAACGTCATCAAGGACTTTGCGCCGAACCTCATGTCAAAGCCAAAGATGCTAGCAATACTTCAGAGCCAACCCCCACCAACACAAGCTTTAAGCCCCTTGAAAATTCATTGTAATGGGCTCCTTCGCAATAGAAACCTAGACCACTAAGCCCTATAAACCTAAATCGCAAGCCCTAAATCCCAAATAGTAGGACTCCCTTATAGTACGGACCCCAACAAGGTACCCCGAATTTCGGGAACCCAGGGTCATTCCCTCCTTCAACCCGACTACGAAACAGTGACTCAGCGCCACAATCGAAGGAATCAGCCAGACCAGCCCCACAACCCAAAATCCTCTCGGTCGCCCTACTTGTTCTTAGCAGGGAACGAGGGAATGAGGCTACCCTGTATAATCCCCTACAGACTACAGTCTGTGATTACCTAATTCGACCATTCCCTACTGAACCGCTAGGTAGACCTAAACCCTAAACCCGGAACCCTAAACCCTAAATGGCACTAAGGTCAAATAACCCTAAACTCTAAATAACACTAAACCCTAAATGACCCTAGACCCGACATGACCCTAAATCCTCAATAGCCCTAAATAGCCCGAAATAGCACTAAACCCCAAATAACCCTCGAAACCCTACACCCTCAATAGCCCTAAATAGCCCTAAACCCTAAATAACAAAAACCCTAAACCCTAAACCCTAAACCCTAAACCCTAAACCCTAAACCCTAAACCCTAAACCCTAAACCCTAAACCCTAAACCCTAAACCCTAAACCCTAAACTAACCCTGAAGCGCACGGTCCACTGAGGCACCCAACACCGCAAGGGAGCAGCGAGCGCCAGGCGGCAAAAGCATTCTTCACCAGCCAGGAACTCGGTCGGGCAGGGGCTCCACTAAGCTCGAACCCTTAGGGTTTAGGGTTTAGGGTTTAGGGTTTAGGGTTTAGGGTTTCGGGTTCAGGGTTTTGGGAAACCTAAACCCCAAAACTCTTTAACTAGTGGTTCCTAGCAGTGAACGGGGGAATTAGGCTCCTTGTATCTCTCTGTATATACCCCGTGGAAGGGATGATCCGTAAGTTCTAAAATCTCTGGTCCCTTTTGGGTTACCTAAACATTCGGGGCCACCTTAGAATGGTAATAACTTAGAGAAGTGGCCATAGAGGGTACCTCATTCCTTCCTTTCCCTCCTTTCCCTCCTTTCCCTCCTTTCCCTCCTTTCCCTCCTTTCCCTCCGTTCCCTCCTTTCCCTCCTTTCCCTCCTTTCCCTCCTTTCCCTCCTTTCCCTCCTTTCCCTCCTTTCCCTCCTTTCCCTCCTTTCCCTCCTTTCCCTCCTTTCCCTCCTTTCCCTCCGTTCCCTCCTTTCCCTCCTTTCCCTCCTTTCCCTCCTTTCCCTCCTTTCCCTCCTTTCCCTCCTTTCCCTCCTTTCCCTCCTTTCCCTCCTTTCCCTCCTTCCCTCCCTCCCTCGAGAGAACAGTATAATTACTTCTTGATCCTAAACAAATTCTTTCTTGATCCTAAATGAATTTTGCGTTGATCCCAAATGTGTTTTTTTTATCCGCACGCCGTTATCCTGAGCTGCCAAAGGTCTCATATCTCAGGGAGCTGCCTTCTCGGCCACGTCGGGGTCGAAGGAGGGTCGGGGCATCGCTACACCGGCAAATGGATCGGGCTTCTTGTTTGGGAGCAGTTTATGTCGGCTTCGAGTATTCAGTTGCAGGTCTGCTTGGCCATGTCGCCTTGGCTGAGGGCTTCCACCGCCGCAGCCACCACCGCCCTCCCGTTGCTGACAGCAGCGATCAGCATACTCCGCTTTCCAGATGAAATCCTATATGCCCTAAATCCTAAACCCTAATTAAACCCTAAACCCTAAACCCTGTAAACCCGAAAAAAACCCGCTAGTCCAAACGCTTTCGGAATGCTATAAAACCCTATGAACCCTGAAAACCCTGAACCCCATGCACCCTAAACCCTATGAACATCTAAGCCTTGGGATGTTCCCCTATATACTAGCAGTCCTTAAAGGGTAAAAAGGGGGGGGTGCTATAATCCCTATTAAGCACTGATAGTAGAAGTGGGAACATCCCAGTCTAAGACCCACAAACCCCACAGGCCCTCCAAACCTTTGCCAGCCTGTTCAGCGCAGACCTGCTGCCAGCTAACCCTAAACACTAAACCCCAAAACCGCATCAGCGCTGCACAGTTTAGGCTTTAGGGTTTAGGGTTAGGGTTTATTTAGGGTTTATAAGGGTTTTGGGTTTAGGGTGCCAGAATGGGCCTTCCTGCTCCTCAGACGTCTGGTTCAGGCTTTAAGACCTGGGGTTTTGGAGTTTGGGTTCAGGGTTCAGGGTTCAGGGTTCAGGGTTCAGGGTTTAGGATTTAGGGTTCAGGGTTCAGGGTTCAGGGTTCAGGGTTCAGGGTTCAGGGTTCAGGGTTCAGGGTTTAGGGTTCAGGGTTCAGGGTTTAGGGTTTGTATGCCCAGGTGTTGGGACTCGGGGTGTGGGCTTAAACTAAAAAACCCTACAGGAAAGGCACCTTGATTCTTGGCAGGCTTCACCGTTCTTAGGGGTTGCTCTAGGCAGGGTTGCGGGTGCCCCTAAACCCTAAACCCTAAACCCTGAACCCTAAACCCTAAACCCTAAACCCTGAACCCTAAACCCTAAACCCTAAACCCTAAACCCTTACTAAACCCTAAACCCTAAACCCAAGCGCGGCACGACTCTCGGCTGCCCCAGTTCTTCTCGCCTCTGTGACGACACTTAGGGGCTGAGTTCTCTCAGAGCCCCAAACCCTAAACCCTAAACCCCAAACCCCAAACCCTAAACCCTAAACCCTAAACCCTAAACCCTAAACCCTAAACCCTAAACCCTAAACCGCGAAGGGATTAGAGCGTCATTGCGGTTTAGGGCTTAACTGTGGTTTTTACGGTGTGTAAGCATGGATAAGGGCTTAACTATGAACTTTAATCCTTAAGCCTGTATAAAGCGTAAGGCTGCCGATGTTCACTCTGTGACTGAAGACCTACGATACAAGGGCCCCAAGACCAAATGAGGAGGCGCTACTCGGGGCTTAGGAAGCTTTGGAATTGTACAGTCTTGCCCTAAACCCTAAAAGGGTTTAGGGTTTAGGGTTTAGGGTTTAGGGTTTAGGGTTTAGGGTTTAGGGTTTAGGGTTTAGGGTTTAGGGTTTAGGGTAAAACAATGAACTCCAACTAAGCCCGGCCCTCACCGCAAACAACCCGCTCTGAACTTCGAAGGCTGAAGCCCCAACCCTAAACCCCAAACCCCAAACCCCAAACCCCAAACCCTAAACCCTAAACCCTAAACCCTAAACCCTAAACCCGAACCCATTCAAACCCTAAACACTCAACCTGAAACCTAACCCTGAACCCGAACCCTAGACCCTCTAGACCCTCTAGACCCTCTAGACCCTCAACCCTCACTAACCCCCTCAACCATCAACCCCAAACCCACAACCCTACAGACCCTCAACCCTGAAATAAACCCTAAACCCTAAACCCTAAACCCTATACCCTAAACCCTAAACCCTAAACCCCCCCACCCCCCCCACCCCTGGGGTGGCCCTGAGCCCGCCGCGAGCCCGGAGCCGCAGGTTCAACTCCAAGTCGCTGACCTCTGCGGGTGTTCTGGGGTTTTGGGGGTTTTGGGTATTGGGAGTTTAGGGGGTTTTGGGGGTTTTGGGGGTTTTGGGGGTTTGGGTGTTTTTGGGTATTGGGGTTTTGGGGTTTTGGGGTTTTGGGGTTTTGGGGTTTTGGGGTTTTGGGTGTTCTAGGGTTTTGGGGGTTTGGGTGTTTTTGGGAATTTTTTGGGGGGTTTTGGGGGTTTAGGGGGGTTAGGGTTTAGGGGGTTTAGGGTTTAGGGTTTGGGGTTTAGGGTTTGGGGCATTGGGGTTTGGGGCTTGGGGCTGGGGTTTAGGGTTTGGGGGTTTGGGATTTGGGAATTGGGGTTTAGAGCTTTGGGTTTTACAGGTTTTCTCGGGCGACTGTCTGGGCGGATCTGCCCAAACTGCTTGTTTTGAGATGTCAAGAGTCAGCCCTAAAACCTTCAACCTTCAACCCTAAACCCTAAACCCTACACCCCAGACACTGCGCTCGTAAATCCCTTCCCCGAGCCCCCATACCCCACCAACACCATAGTAATAGTAGCAACCCAGGAATAAGTCACAACTAACAAGTCGTGAAACATATCACAAAATTTCAAGACCAAGACACAAGGTAACAAATGTACAAACAAACTGGTTCTTAGTAGGGAATGCGGGAATTAGCAGCCCCATTCTTAGGGATTACTAAGAACCAGCCAGACAAGTAAGTACTAAATGCTGAATAAAGCATTGGAGCACATCTGCAAATAGCAAATAATTAGCTCACACTTGACACCACGCAACCGTTTTAGGGTGCAGGGTTCAGGGTTTGGGACGGCCTTGGAGATCAGCATGTAAGCATTGAACAGGAAGCACCATGTTCTACTATTTGCTTCAGAAACCACAAAAAAAATCAAC